ACTTATGAATGAGGCTACATACAAGACTTCTTTCTATGTTTGAACCCCTGCTGCCCTGGTACTAGGTTCAACGTGCCTGCATCGCATCTACGTGCAGTAGCCAGCTGGGATTGGATTGTATAACAGCACAACGGATTTCTTTTCTGTAGCTAGATACTTTGGGTCCCGTTGCAAACGACACATGAGACAGTTCAGTGTTCTGTGACTCGGTGACGACATGTCGGCAATTGAAAAGAATCAACGAGTCAATCAAATTGAGTCAATCGCAAAGCCCCCTTACATTGAGGTCAAGAAAAATCTGAAGGTACTGTACTGTAGGCATCAAGATGTAGGCCAGACCCAAGATAAGAGGTGACAATACCCCCATAATGGATCATTCGACCCTTGTTCTGCTGAGCCGTTAGGTCAACCATCTTCGGAGACGAACATGTTGGGTAATGAGTTGCGTCACTAGAAAATACCTGGTAGGCATTCGTGAGTAGGCTACGTACCTAGGTAGCAGCAGTACAAGGGTCATCATCTGAGCGATTGCTCCTTTCAAGAATGGAGCTAGGAACACTGATCCTCAGCTCACGTCGTCTCGATTAGCGTTTTGACTATAAACAACTAACAAGATCCCTTTAGCAAATAAGAAGCTGGTGTTGACGAAACATTCAACGGCCCGTGTCATCCGTGTATCGCTCACATGCGAACTTGTGGAGAAGAGCAAGGATAGACTGGAGGAAGACTGACAAGGGCTCGGTCCGGGAACACGAAGCAACGATATAGACTATGCGATGCATGTTTTATTACGAGGTTCACAGCAATGATATGCCTTGCATGTTGTGAGATTTTCTCCATCTACACAGGGCAAGCAAGGAGGCTGGTTAGGACCTCGGGTATAAGATCCGAGAGACGGCGTTGCAGACGTGCCCAATAATATATGCAGATATCCTTCTCATGATAGTTTAACATGGCGATGGAGTCAGGTGGTTAGGAGTCAAGAGCCAAGAGACAGACCCGGACATGAACCATATCATATGGATGATCAAAATATACTAAAGGAAACACAATCTCTGAGTATGATCAACTAATGGACGAGAGGAACCCACACAGGTTCCATGCCCAGACCTCCACTACCTGCTACTCCACCCAATTGACACACAACACTGTATGTAGTGTAGGCACCTAATAGATGTAAAGGTGGAGAGAGTGGAGAGGGGCCTTGAGGAGAAAAGAGGGAAGATGATAATTACATACTAGTTCAACTGATCGGTTCAATTATGAAGTCAGGATATTTTCATGATACATAGATTTGGAGGCGTCCGATCGCCTCGAGCTTGTGGGTCTATAGAAAGATGAGACGCTTAATAAGTTGGGTAAGGACCTCGTTAATCTAACGGCCGAGCCTCAGATATCTTAGGTACCTAGGTTTGGTAGGTAGGTAGGTAGGTAGGCAGGCACCTACAACCTCCCTGTAGTATTTCAAGATCGACGTTAGGTACTAGGTCTGTTGGTAGCGTGACAAACGCTAGACCCTTAGGTCATGTGCTTGATCTTTAGACTCAACACACCTCAAGGCAGGTGCTTTCAATAAGTAATGAGGCTCAAGTCAACTTCACCTGGTCCTGACTGATATTATGGAATGGAATGGAAGGAATGGAAGTCATGACTGCCCACGAGGGTGATACCTCAGGTTTCAGCTGAAACAGAGTCCATCTTGTCTTGGCAAGTTGGCCGATATTTCTCGTCGCCCTCATACCCTCATGATCCTTGTTGCTCATCTGTCAGCTCTCACTTTCTTCAGCTCCCGACTGCAACAAAATCTCGACACCGCCTCAAAGCAACGACAATCTTTCTGCAACGTTTACCGTGTTGGGATTCGAGAGGTGTGGCTGGCCACCCAGTGCGGAACACCCATTCAATGTGTTGGCCATGGCATTAGCAGCAAAAAGCAAATCTGTCGTCTGTTGGTTATGCAGCACATCTCCTTAAGCATCTCGTCTTAATGAGGAGTCGATGACGAACGCCTGCATGGTATTGCAGACTTGCTGGGGACTATCACAGTAGCATTAACGGGTGCCTCAGACGCTATTAGGCGCCTATGCACTGAGTTCTTCAGTCCGACCTTGTGGGAAGTTATCGATCTGACAATGCTGCTAGCTGCAAATATCCGATTCGGATATACATACTGAAGAAATTATGATTAATACAACAGACAGATCATCTATCAACTTTTGAAAAGCAAGAAAACAGTACATGTCTACGGGATCCAAACAACGATCACCAATTCATATTATATCGCCACGATCAAGATCAACAATGATGACCAGCAACAACCAACAGTGCAGCAAAGGGTAAACAAGATCATTGACCGGATCGGTTCACAATGGGTTCTGGGCTCATCTCTTCCAGGCTTGCTTCCTCAACGCTACGGCGCTCCCTCGCGCCGCCAGCCCGCGAAATAATCCTGCATCGTCATCGCCAATACAAGACACACAGCAAACGGTCGTCGCATACCTTTCAAACAAATGGCTTTGAATCTCAGACTGGACCTGCGTTGCCTGCGTAGTCTGCTGGTAATGAGTCGACTGCACCCAAGCGGAGCATGAGCTCCCACACAAGATACACATCAAATATGACAGAATACCCTGCAGAATTTGTGGCTTTCTAAACTTTGCTTCTTTTTTCTCTTTATGAAATGTACTCACCGGCGTACACCGCTGCTTGTACTGCAATCAGACTCGGACGCATCTCCTGCACACTTTTACCCTTTCATCTCGCCCGCAGCATGTATGTAAGTTTCTGGATGGCCAACGGTGCAGAATGCCTAGCACCTTATTCTTCCCGTACGAATAGCAACGGGAGCTTTCTCTCATTGGCCATGTTTCACACAAGAGCTCCCACTGGCCCCCCGAACTCATGAATTGTTTTCCCCGCTACGGCCACATAGGTACTCGTTCTTGCCTCCACCGAGTCGCTGAGCCTGCTGCGATTGGCGGCAGCCAATGGACACATTCGGTTGCCATCTGAGTCAGAAAACTATCACTGACTTCCATGCGCAAGAGAATATATGCTGGTAGCCGACACTCAATCCTGGTCAGAAGAGTGTTGCCTTTATCATAGTTGTCAACGAAGGAACTAGGTATTGGTGTCAAGTTTTTAACAACACCCCCAGCTCGACCAGAAAACAGTTGACCCACGGCTATGGTCCCAGCAGGACGGTTGAGGCTTACGCTACTGGCATTAACACCCAACCAGCACTGCACATATTAAGTTACCGAGCAAACATTTTTTTTTCTCAGTACTGTAGGTTGGTTTTGAATAGCCTGCTGCCGGCCACATTCAAAGTGGCAGCAGATTGGCCCAGATCGGAAGCACCAACACAGTGGCAACCCCCTGGCCAATATCATTCGCACATCTCTCAAGTGAGATCTTGCTAGGATCTAAACGACAGGGTTTGCCCCGGACAGTGCAAATTTGGCTTAACGCGATCTCAGAGGCTGCGTTAAATGGATCATCCCCAGTCTAGCGAGCCAGATGGGCTAGGGTGCCTTGACCATGGCCTAGCTTGTTATCCACAAAACAGCAAATGCTCACCTTGAAAAGACAGACTGTTTGATTATCGGAAGCGACAAATTTCGCGATTGGATTTTGAGATAGATTCTGGTTAGCACGTCTCCCCTTGGAAATTCCGCCTCAGCTATGGAGTAGTACTCCGTGTTCGAATTCGATCAGAGTGTGTGTGCCTCTTTTGAGGGATAGATCACTCCGCTCAACTATCCGCCCCTTGCTTCTACGCGATGCGGGTCTCCCTGGACAGGATGAGCCATCTAGGTATGTGCTGCTCTTTTTTACTCTTTGCTGCACTCTTCTTTTGACGGAAGACTGCCCATGAGATATTCTTAAGAACTCGACTTGCAGTTGGGGAATGTATAGGTGACTGTACACCCCAAGGAGGGAGTTGTTTGCCAAGCGGATAAGCCCTACGGAACCATGGTTGGTTGGATGTATCATGCATACGATACGCAGGCTTTGTTGCTCCACCAAGGATGGCAGTAGAAGCAACTTGTAATAAAAGGCATGGCAAAGCAGGACGATCATCCTAGTCGGCGGGCGAGTCCTGCACGTGCTGACAGGCTGCTCTGACGCAGCGGCGCCCTCACTCGCAGCAACGCATCCGCACGAAACTACAGTATCTTTATAACCCTGCGGCAGGTACGGATAGGATCCCGGTTGATGCTTTTGCTTCTTTGCTCCACCTTATCTCCTCTAAGCGGGGAGGGTCTTGGAGAGGCTAGAGAGGGTGTCCCCCAGAAAAGAAAGGCGTTTTGTCTAACGCCAAGTCCGACTGTTGGTAGCGTCTATCACCTCGGACAGGGGTGGCACACAGACCCCTTCATAAGTCGACACAATCACTTAATATCGTCTCGTCCTTTGATGTTGGCTTATTACCGGCGCTCAGGTACTAGACAAAAGAACGAGAGAGTTTGCGTCGGCTGAAATCAAGCGTGCCTTGGCCCTACAGACAAGAAAACCTTCAATGCATTGCGAATCGAATACAAGAGAGTCGACCCCCCTCCCATTGAGCTTTCTACATTCGAAAAGATATCGGCATTTCCAGTGGATATTCCCGGCTTTAACTCTCCCTTCTTCCTTATAGTCCCTTTACTCTCCCTTCGCCCCTTGCTTAGGTCTTGCAAACCAAGGCGTATCTAGTTTCCACTTGCATTTGCCCTCGGCCAGTCTCGAAGTTTTCAACTACCGCCAGACGCCTCCCTGATAATTCTTCAAGAGGGGACCCATTTCCACCTGAATCATAACAAACAACTCTGGATCAAAACAAAGAACCAGAACCATTTACATCGGCTCGTCTGCTTGCTGTGTGACAGTTGCCAGAAGCCTGTCGAAATGAGTATTCATCCATTCCTCAAGATGGAGGGGGCCTCTAGGAGACATTCGGCAGAAGACCCGAGCCAGGCACACACCTATCAATGTTCGACCCAACCCCAAACCCCACCATGTTCAACTTCAGGAAGCCCCAGGATCAAGTTCGAGGGTAAGTTCTGGTTTATCAGACTCAGCTCTTCAGCATAATATCCCAGACTAACAACACTAAGAGTTCACAAGCCTCCCCAGGTTACATGACGCCGTATCACCTCAAGGGAACAATGTTGTGAAGCTCCCTAGTTTGGGAGAATTTGACGAAGGAGTCGAGGCCCTCATTCGAACACATGGACCAGTGAAGACCTGGACTCCATTATCTCCGCTCCCCGGACTTTCTGGCAACTCCATGGTCCTTCAGCCTATGAGATCCATTACACAACCGCAGCCGCCATGGTCTTTCCAAACTGCTGATATTCCTAATGACTGCCCGATCTCAAGCAGAGGGAGAAACAGCGGGCATAATCGATACTCGCTTGCAGTTGATCATCCGCAGCAACTTTTGCAGGGAAACTATCGAAACCCAGACACTTACTACGGCTATGGCACTGGCAGCCCATCTCTTCAAGCACCATCAAACGCGCATTGCTATCCAAGTCCACCACCAGACGGCGAGGGTCGGCACATTAACCAAAAGTACACAACAGAGGAGGGTGACTACATCATATACGCCTGGCATGACAAGAAGATGAAGTGGCAGCGCATCAAGCAAGAATTTGCAGCTCGGTTCGGCACTACTCCTGAGCGAACGATCCAAGGTCTCCAAGCGTGGTATTACCGTATGAACCAACGCATACCTGTTTGGGATCAGGAGGGCTGGCTCTGCTTCGACAACGAAGATGACCTTGAACCTCAGCATGTCAGCATCAAGGTCCGCGAACGGGATAGTCAGGACAAACCCATGGAGCCACTGGGAATAGCTCAGCGATACCCTGAACGTGCTATCCACTACTCGTGGGTCGACGCTGAGACTAAGTTCAAGGCCCAAGACTGGGGTGCGTATTTATTACTCATTAAGACATGGAGATGAAACTGACACTTCTTATAGCTGCCAAAAGAGCTTTGCAGTACCGTGACAGGCGAGAGAGACGTAGAAGAAAGGAGCAGCGACGACTGAAGCTATGAAGAATGAAGCATGCTGGCCCCTGTGACCAAGCTTGCAGCCCGAATCAACAATCAGCGGAGATATTGATGAAAGCAGGGTGATTTCGACCACCATTACCACTGATGAAGCGAATTGTTTCCTTTTCCTATTTGGCTTGAACTCCAAGAGTTCTATATCACGCTTTTCAACGACCGAACTTCTGACGACACGACGATCATGTTCCTACCATACCCTGAAGCATGTAATTAAAATCTCCTTTGTCATACACGTACATTTATTTCGTGTTCGCTTTTCCAACCGTCGAGTGTCTTACAGACCACTCTTGGACCTGATGTATCGGCGCCATGCACAATACCGCCGGGGAAGGATAACACTGGGGGCGGGCAAAAGAAATAGCTGGTTGACATTTTGAGTTGGTGTATTTTCCATATGTTTGTACTATTAGACGAATCACGATTAAGTCCCCCAACATAATGAGACCAATGGATATAGCAGAGGCAATACTATGGTAGAATCGGCATACAAAACACCTCAGTTGCTAATACCACGCCAAGTGTATTGTATTTTTCCATGTCTTGGCACAAAGCTTCTGTATCTGAAATCTATTGTGATTCACTTGACATTTGACTAGGTATAGTAAGCTTAAGCTCAGATGTAGATGTCATGCTCTGCAAGCTTATAATCTTAAAGCCACTGCCTGCGCCCCTTTCCCCGATAAGCGGATGCCAAGAATTCAAGTCAGTTCCTTCGGCATTTCGCGTCTGCTTTGATAAAGCGAAGGCAAACATGTAGATCCCCGCAGGGTAACACCGTTCAGGCCACTAGTGCAGGGCTGAAAGGTCCTGATACCATCTCGGGCATGGCACGTGTCTCGAGGACGGTGTATCTAGACGGTGTGCAGATACAAGAAACCTTCTCTGAGCATGGTTAGATGCCAGAGCCCCGGCACCGACATGCTGCGACACATATCGTGGGGTATGCGACATAAACCTGGCGATCAAACCAGTCATTATCTCGATACTGGTGTATTTCACAATCAAACACCCTCCTCCCCCTTGGCGCGGGCAAAGAATGGACAACGTCCACCGTGTGACGGATCATCCAAGCCTATTAGGTCGACAAAAGACGACTGGCCATGCCAGATCGGGAGCTTTGCATCTATTGTTGGTGTTTGATTCGAAATGCACGGTTGGCTAGTGCGACAAATGATGAAGGTGTCATGCCTCAGGGGTACACCGTTGTGGCTTACACAAAGAAGGGACCTCTGGATAATAATGCGAGGTAGAGAAGTCCGGGGGGGTCGGCCATCCTGCATTGTCTGTTGGCTGTTGACGGCGAGGGCGTGTGAGATCTGCTTGTGGTGATCAACATGTTGGGACATGTAGATTTGTTGCTGCTGGGCTGAAAGTCTAACGCCTCAAAATCTTTAGACTAGTTTGTTGCTCTATCTAGGTGCTTCTATTGAAAGGCTTTGCTGTGCCTCATATAGGTCCTGATACGAGCCATGGTGGCATCGTCGTCACCGTCGCCGTCGAGGACCATGTCATTGTCGCTTTCGTCATAGTACATGTTGTCAAACTCTTCGTCGTCTGATGCATTTCCATTTCGATAGCCATAAGGATGGCGTCCGTATTCGTCATCTGACTCTACCTCGTCTTCTGGATAGTCAGCTGTGTAGTAGTTCTCGGCTGGCAAGTTTGATTTGTTAGTCTTGGTTCTCAGTTCTTCACGCTCGGTGGTTTTGCCCGAGACTAGCCGGTAGACTTACCATTCTCATCCTCGTCATCTTCGTCCAGGCCCTCGTCTTCATCACGCTCAGGGCCGTAGAATAGGTTGCTCTCCTCTTTTCCATCAAGAACCAACACGCCAACGTCGGTTGGTGCCACATCGACAGTCATGGCATGTGCAGGGACGCGGACGTATTCCTCAATGATCCAATCGTCGTCGTCCTCCGCCTCACTCTCACCCATATTCATGCTGACATCGTTTGGCTCCGATGTGCTTGCAGCCACTTCTGGGTGACGCTCCTGGTATCTTTTAGCTGGGGCTTTAGGCTTGAATCTGGCTACTCTTTGCTTTTCCTGTTCCATATCCTCGAGATTAGCCCCAATCTCTTTCATAACCCAGTCGTTCATGTCAGCAGTTATCTTTGATAAATCTTGGTTGTGGGGACTCATAACGGAAGTTGGGAGAGGAGACCGTGTGTTGGGGCCAGGAAGAGGAGAGTTCTGTCTGCTCCTCGCTGCTGGCTTTTTAAGTCGTCGCTCCTGTTGTGGTGGCTCCTCTGGAGGCCGCAGTTCGGACGAGGCATCCGAAGACATCTTTATGTCTTGACTTGATTGCAATTTCGGTACTGTCATAGATGCCTGGATGGTCTTCATAACCTGAGAGGCTCGTTGACTGGCTTTTGCACGACTTCGTTCGACGAAGACAGCAGGTCCGTAGCGTGCTCGCTTATTTAGGCCAGCACCTGATGGTTGCGCCGCATTAGAGGCCATCATCATCTTCCTCGATATGTGAAAGCGTCGTGGTTCGGTGCCCTGGGAGGGTTCGACTGATTTGGTGTCCGTTATAGGGGCGGCATCATCAGGGTCGACGCTCTTCTGTATTGGTGGTGTATTATCGCTTGGTCCCGAGACATGAATGACTGGCTTGGCATCACGAAGAGACAGTGATGGGTTCTCTATCGTTGGGGACTGAGGGCCGGGGTGCCTCCTTTGATAGACCCATTTACTATCACTTCGATGGCGTTTTGCGCCTTCGTCAAACTCTGGATCGAGTTAGGTTGTGCAGCAGTGAGCGCGCAGTGGAATAAGGCGTACGTAGAAAGGTCACAGGAGACTCATCGTCACGCTTGCGCTTTACGCGGATGAGTTGAGGTGGAATCGACATATTGCTGAATAGTGATTCGACGAGATGAATGAAATGCAACTCAAGAAAACAGACCAGTCTGCAGATGATGGAGTCTAGATGTACAACAGATGAAGCAGAAAAGACAAGCTTAAGTAGTTCTTATGCGGCTAGAATGACGGTTGTTTTAGAGAAAGGTTCCTTGAATGCGCAGGTTGCGTGAGTAGGTAGGTGAGCATGCATACATGTGAGAGGTTGTGTTTTCGCCGTGAACGGTGAGGTCAGAAGCTGGCAACGGTAGGTAATTTCCATTCTCAATTTTTCATCCACCTGCCGTAAGGTACCTAGGTAGTGTAGGTTAAAGGTGGGGCTACTCAGTGGGAAGAGCCGCCGAAAGAGCCTCCTGGGAGGTGGGGCCATCCTCGTTTTAGTGTCTGCGTTAGCGGAGCGAGTTATGTATCCTCCATGGTAATCTAATCGGTGGGGGTTGGTGGTTGAGCTTCATTCAGTCATTGAAGTGAAGTGAGCCGACTTAAGCTGAGAAATGCATAATAAAGAGGTTGAAAACCAGAAACAAATATAGCAGTGCCTTAGTAATACACTTGGTAATCAGGTACCTATACTAGGTAGATACACCATCTTATCACATTCCCCGTCTTGTCTCTAAAATAAAATGGCTGCTGCTCTTGAATTGGCTTTCGATAGTGCAAGGTTGAGTTGGATAGTGGCGGGGGTTTGGGGGATAAAGAATCTCCTGATGCCTACTCGGGCAGGCAGACAAGCAAGCAAGCAGCACACAAAAATCTTGAGAACTGGAGGTCCAGACCAGCGTGATGGCTTCAATTCTTGAACCCCAATCGCTTGGGCTGTTTACAGCAGAGGAAGACAGACATGCTCATAACTCGCTTCGACACCTTGAAAACGGTTGGAATGCGGGGGCGCACGGACCACCGTAGTCTACCCACAACCTAAGCGCATAAGGTAAGGTACCTTAAGTCTCACAACCTGAGTCCTGGGGCATCGTATGTACGTACTGACTACCTAAGTACCTACTAATGTATTCGCAACCCACGGGTAGTTGCTGATTTCTTCCCTGCTCCCGTTGATTGACGTGCATGAACCTCAAAGGTGATATTTTTGCCAGTGATATAATGGAAAAGAGGTCAAATTGGATCAAGAGATCAACTGCGATATAACCAATTGTCAAGGAGACGGAGAGGTATCTCGTTGCCCGTGCATCGGATCGGCGGCTATGAAATATAAAACGAGGCACCAAAGCTAATTGGTAAACTACAAGATCAGTAAAGACCTGTCGTCACTGCAGATCGTGATCAACCCCGGATTACGGCGTAGTAGCGACTAGGTCAACACCAAGCTTGGTACTGAGTTGGGCAAAGGATTATGGATTGCTGAACGCCTTTTAGTTACGGTAGATCATACGAGAGCGAGTTTCTTATATACATGGATGAGATCCAGTCACTAGCCACTTCTTTGATTACGAATTACAGTTCTCTGCCCCCTCAACTCTCGCCCATTGAGCTTAATGACGTCTATCCAGCACTTCCATGTTCTAGGGGGTACCTAATAAGTATCCTCGCCCGGTGTACGTAGATTCCATAAGGTAGTACATAGGTACTACTGAGACCAGTACCTCAACTAAGAGTGACTTGGAAAAGTCAATGCAAACTCACGTGTTTATATATTAGGCCCCAACGGCAGACTCCAACGTCTTATTCCGTTACTCTCTCTCCTTTGTCTTCTTGCCCTTGAGATTGGCCCTCGACTGTCAATTATTAGGTGCTTTGCTCCTCACAAAGACCAAAGGCATCGATCGACCTCAAAGCTCCAGCTCCAGCCCCAGCCCCAGCTCCAGATTGGTGTTGCATTGACCTTCAGCTGTCGTCATCCCGCCTCCTCCCTCCCTTCTCCTCCTCACTCATGTCTTCACCCAACTTCCATCATTAGCCTTTCTGACTTTCTTTCTTTCTTTCGTCATTCTACACCTCACCTCACCTTATCCCTAGGTAGTTTCTCTCATTTTCCTTACGTGTCGCGCTTTTTCGACCTATTGTCAATGCGCTGTGATCCTGTTATATCGATCTCTGGATCATAACCCTGTGTTGACAGAGGTACGAACATCCATCCAATCCATCCCTGTCCGTCGTTCGATTCTCGCGCGCTCCGAAATCAGAGCATCGATGCCAACTCAGTAACCTCTTAGAAACCTGCGATTTGCTTTAATCACGCCTTTGCCTCATCATTTAACTTTTCATTCGCGTATGCATTTTGACCACGCTTCTGTCTCGGCTGCGAGTTACTTACTGTATCAGTGCACTTTCGGCTCAACCCGCCCACCATGTCCTCCAAAGTGCCATGTACAATTACCTACAAGAAGCCTGGGACTTCACCTCCTGTCTTTCTTGCAGGCTCCTTTACTGACCCACAATGGCAACTTCAAGAGATGGAATATACTATTGACCAAAACGGAGACCATGCTTTTCAGTCCGAGGTTATGCTGGAACCTGATCGGGATTACCAGTTCAAGCTCCGCATAGGTCATGACAACTGGGCTCTAGCCGAGAACTATCCTACCGGTGAGTTCAGAGCCGTTCCCTATCCCGATCTGCTCCCTGATATTGAGTTCCAAAGCAACCGATGATTCCGGAAATCAGAACAATGTTATACGTGCACCTGAAAAGCCAGCTGAAGAGCAGATCGCACCCGCCGGCGTCGATACGCCAGCGATCAGTCTGAACCCTGCCAGTCAGCTCCCTTCAATATCTACAGAAGCAGAATCCGTCGGCGAGAACACGGAAGATTTCAAGGTTCCATTACTTGCACACGAGTCACCTGGTAAAGACGTCGAAGAAGAAACCGAGGACAGCGAGATACCGTTGTTGGCGCATGAAACTCTGGGCAATGAGTCCAAGGAGGAGGCAGAAGTAGAGGCATTCAAGGCACCTCTTTTGGCGCACGAAACGCTCGGAAACGATGCGAAGGAGGACTCTGAGGAAATGAAAATGCCGCTGTTTGCACACGAGTGTCTCGGTGCTTATGATTTTGGAGAAGAGCCAGGCTCGACTCCGATCGCAGTCAATAGCCCAGGCCAAAGCTCAAGGGTCAAATCGAAGCACGACGAATCTTCCGACATTGACGTCAACGACCCTACACTAGAAACCTTCCCTTCCGATCGCGGCTCAATTCTTGATGCCATTCGGACAATTCAGACTCACCTTGGAGAAGACCACACCCATCTCGAGGACATTCCTCTGTCACCTCGTGTAATCTCATCTAGAAGGACCAGTCTGGATTCTAACGATGACTTGTGTCTGTCGCCCGCGTCTTTAAGTCCTACTGTCACTAGGAGACGAGACAGCAGACCTTCTCATAGTTTCGGGCGAACTCGTTCCTTAGTATCTCTAGGCTCGATCGAAGAGGAGCCCAAGCCTGCTTCAAGCAAGCAATCCGCAGGCCCCGCCATTGTATCTCTACCGAATCCCAACTCCAAGAGCAAGCCGGTCGGGCAAAAGTCACCCCCTAGTGAGGAAGATGAAGCTGTCGTAATGAAGACCCCAGAGGTAAAACCCAGTACGAGAGCCGATGGCGAGTCAGCATCTCAAGTTAAAAGTTATGAGGCCCAGAATACCCAACACGATAAGGCGTCCAGCGCCACCACGGCTGCAGATACCCCGGCGGCTGCAATCTCCCAAGCGATCGACAGCCCATCTACCGATACGCCATCGATCGGTAAATCTGTGCGAAATGAATCGTCCAGAACCCCCGAGTCCGAAGCAGCTCAATCCTCAAAAGAGCCACAGCCAACAGCAGATCCAATTATCGGCAAAGATATCATGAAAACGGCGGCTTCAGGGGATCCTTCTAAAGCACCGCCGCGTGGCAGTGTTGTGCCTTTGTGAGTACCTACTTGACCTGCCGGAAAGAATGCTTCTTAACAATGATGCCTCAGAATCATTACGGCGGGAGCCCTCGCTGTCGCCATTGGGATAGGGTGGTGGCAGGCGGCCGACCACTAGGAGTAGTAACCTTCTAACATTGATTCTGGCTTTGGGCTGGATTGGGTAGTTTTCATAATAAAGGATAGGAAGCATCGACGATGCAGGGATAAACAGCAACTGTACGTGTACGAACCGAGGAGGATTGATAACAGAACAGGGCCATGAGCAATGGACAGTAGAAACCTATACGAGTCCTAGGAGCCACTAGGAAGCATTTCTATTTTGTCGATGCGAATATAAACCAATGAGCACGATTTATCATGTACTCTTATTGTATGTTGTCTTCGTATTGTATCCGGAGTAAGGTGAGGTACCAGTAGGTCTAATGTGGGGTGTCTATCTGCATCGGCGAAAAAGACTCCGAGGTCCGACTTCAACTGAAAAAAGAAAACTCCACCATTGATCAGTATCATATTGTCACCAAGAATATTTCTGCAACACAGTTGTTTTCATCGCATGACACCGGCAATTATGCAGCGCATAGCAACGAGCTCGGTTTGCTCGGTCTGTATTCGTTCATCTCGGCCGACTACAGTTGCACGTCCATCCCTACAAACATGCATGAGCCAGCGCCTGTCTTCGCAACATTTCAAACCTCGCCCCTCGCGCATGGTTCTCTCAGATCGAGTTGATCGACCGCCTCCGTCTCGCGATGACCGGCGCCAACGGCGTGAAGCCCCAGGCCCATTTGGAGGAATGAACAAGAAATATGCCAATATTGATCCTGGCCGGAGAGCCGGTCCGCATCGTGGGATAGGAGGAAAAGATGGCAATGGAGGAAAGGCAAGAGAGAGGGAAAACAGGAGAGGAGAGCCAAGAGACGGAGACGACCGAAAGGCGCTCAAGATGCAGAGGGCCCTGGCTACAGTCTCGTACGGAAAGCGAACCGTGATGAAGGAAAGCATGACCGACTACGAGACGTTCGATAACTTTGATCTCATCCCCTCCCTTCAAGTCGCCGTCAACGAAGAGCTCTTTAAGGGCATGACAGATATCAAACCAACCCCTGTGCAGCGACTAGCGATACCCGCTTTGCTAGGACAAAGAAGTCCAGACGACTTGAAAAGGCCAACAGAAGAGATGAGGTCATTCTTATTAGCGGCAGAGACTGGTTCCGGGAAGACTTTGGCCTATCTGTTACCGGCTATCGATGCTCTCAAGACAGCCGAAGCAGAGGACCCTGAGCTAAAGGCCTACCGTGAACGGTGGGAACTAGAGAAGCAACGACAACTGGAGGGCCATTCCAAGGGCAAGCCATTTGACGAGCCACATCCTACCATGGCTCGCCCCAAGGTTGTCGTCCTTGTGCCCACGGCGGAGCTTGCGCACCAGGTCACAAAGGTATCCAAAGCTCTATCACACGTGGCCAAGTTCAAGACAGAACTCCTCTCTTCGGATTTGAAACCCCAGCAGATTCAGCGTAACCTCTACGGACCCAGGGGAGTTGATGTCATCGTCTCGACGCCTCATCTTCTCGCATCGATTGCCGATTCAGATCCCAATATACTCTCCCGCGTATCTCATCTAATCGTCGACGAGGCAGACTCTCTTTTCGACCGAAGTTTTGCTCCAGTCACCACCAGTATTGTCGAACGAGCGCTACCCTCCATGAAACAGTTTGTCTGTTGTTCAGCCACGATTCCCCGCAAACTCAACAACTTCCTCGCCACCAACTACCCCAAGATGGTCCGAATAACCACACCCAACCTCCACGCTATCCCTCGACGTGTCCAGTTAGGTGTTGTTGACGTTTCCCGGGAACCCTACCGCAACAGGAAGGATCTCGCTTGTGCGGATGCTATCTACTCCATCGGCCGTGAGTCTGCCAGTCACGAGGGACCAGTAAAGGGCGAGGTTGATGTTCGCCGCATAATGGTTTTCGTCAACGAGCGGGAAAAGACCGAGGAATTGGCGAACTACCTCAGAGAGAAGGGAATCAATGCCGAGGCTCTCCACAGGGATACACCTGAGAAGCGCCACGGCGAAGTTCTGGAGACTTTTACTTCTCCCGCGCCTCTTAGAATCCCAACCCCGTCAATTGCCTCCAAGGCTCGATCACTGGCCAACGTGAGAGTCCTGGTTGTTACAGACTTGGCCTCAAGGGGTATTGATACCCTTGCAGTCCGTCATGTGATTCTATACGATGTCCCTCATACAACCATTGACTTTATCCACCGACTTGGTCGTGCCGGACGAATGGGTCGACGCGGTCGTGGCATTGTGCTTGTTGGCAACGACGACAGAAAGGATGTTGTCGCAGAGGTCAAGAACAGCATGTTCAGAGGACAGGCCCTGATTTAAACATCGCTATGCTGTTTCATTTTATGCATCATGTACAATGAATGGAGTAATTGGATGAATATGTAAGATTACAAGGTTATTAGGTTGGATTGAGTGTATCTACATACCTAGATGTGTCAAGGTTTTTATGAATATCTCAATAGAGGAAATGTACAATATCTAAGCATTTGATGATTTATGTGCCTAAGTACCTACCTCATAAGATCACGAAAATCGCGAATCTGTCGTACATCATCTGAATAATGCAGTTCAATTTAAGAGGCAAGCGGCTCTACCAAAGCATTCTGATCGTCAAGCTTCTGTGGGTCAAAGCGCTAGGTTGTTGTTTGGTGGGCCATGGGACCAGTACGTAGTGGGTATCCGTACCTTACCCACTACTACGGAGTAGGTACCTCGTGAGGTAATAGAGTCACTCCCACTAGGTACGTACCTTCGATGTCGCGTCGCGTTTCTTTGACGTGTTTCTTCCCCATTCGCACAATATCATCATCATCATAAGGCAGGTTGGTTATTCGCATACTCTCATCCCACCCAAAACTCGACCCCCGGAATTTGTCTCGAGAAGCTCTTCTCCAAAGTCGCAAACAGTATCTCAATTACCACTTCTATTAACAACCTGCTTGCGACACATATTCCAGATCTGTCACCTCAATGCCTCGAGCTAAACGCGCGCGTCGTGCACCCGCACAATCTGCCAAGTCTCATGCACGATCACCTTCACCCGATGCAAGTGACAACCAAGTTCCCCGACCGACCCAGTCTCCCGAGAGAGGCCGTAGGAGGACGACACGATCTTCAGGTGCTTATTCAAGTGCCGTCAACGAGCAAGATGTTCTCGCGGCAAATCGGCGTCGCGACGCAGCGCTAGACAGGCTAGCCAACGAGGATCCTACTTCTACAGCCAGTAACAATGTTGAGGATGGAGATTCTGGGAGCTCAGTTGAAGCTGGAAGACGAGTGACAGCTACACCGACTCGAAGAAGGGACACGACTGGACTAGATTTAGCGGATAGCGTGTTTGGCGATCTCGACGATAGTTTTGGGCTCGAGGACGATGATACCCGACTAGGACTGCACTCAGCTGATGCATCCTCTCTCAACTTGAGCAACTTCAGGCGCAGACCACGCCAATCCAGCATTATTGGGCGCAACGACCCTCCCATTAGGCCCAGTAGCCGCGGCGGCAACACACCCAGTATCAGCTCGACACTTCACTTTGGTGCCTTCAAGCGGCGGGCACGAGAGCCGAGCATTCTGGGAACTGCACGAAAGCCTCGACCAGAAGGGAATGCCGCAGGACAGGAACCGGATTCAGCAAGCGAGGACGAGGACGGTTTTATGCCTGAAGCCGAGTCGACACCTCTGAACAACCGACGGCGGACAAAGCCCGAGACCGAGCTGGAGATCGAGGTTCCTGTCCCTCCAGAAGTCTCTGCAGGACCGAAGCACAGGAAAAGAAAGAGTGAAGATGCATTACCAAGTAGCGATCGGCCTGACAAGATGTCGCGAATTGAGAGAGATGCGGGCGAGGAATCCGAGGAAGATGCGGGACCTGCACCCCAGGTGATTTCTGATGATGCAAGCGATTCTTCACTGTCAGATCTCGATTCTCCCCTAGGACCATCTCCGGTACTTCTGGACAGGCCTGTTACTCCCATCAATAACGAGGAGCTCATGGCTCTACCTGCCAGTAGTGATTCGGAAGACGTGAACTGGCCTGATATTCATACCTTAGCTAAGCGGCGCCGAAGACCTTCCGCCACAACACCTATTCGCACTGATAGCTTGTCGGATGTCTCTTCACCTCCCTCTCTAACGCACTCTCCCAATTATGCAGAGGCATCCAAGTCCCGTGGTCGGGCTACAACTCGACGTCAGCAACCATCACCAAAGATAACAACTGCCGACTTGACGAGTCTACTTCCGAAGCGCCATTACAAGAAGCAGCGGGACCCACTAGGACTGGAAAGCGACGACGAGCATGACACATCCGGTATCGGGGAGGACGAGGATGAGCTATCGTATCTTGACGGCCGGGCTGCGCGCCGAAGACGAGGCGGACGCTCGACTAGCCGCGGAGGCGCAAGGCGACCAGGTTCGCGAGCTGGGCGCCCAACGCAGGCTCTTAAGCCCAGACAGCCAACCTCTGACAAGCAAACGGGTCGCAATGCACAGACTTACTCGCGTCGGTCATCGGACAAGGAGAATGAAAATGATGCTGGTAGTGATGAAGACGAGGATGAGCACGAAGCCAGTCGTTTCCAGCCACTACCAGACGATACTTTTGAGAACGGAAGTGGTGAGAACGCAAGCACTCCATCAGCTGATGAGCTTAAGCAAGCAGCAAGGAAGTTCAAAGAGGTTGACCGGTGGGAACTTGACTTTGAAGAGGTTACGCAGAGTTCGTCTCCACTTGCACGATGAAGCACAAGGAACGAGATGAGGGCGCTAAGTAATAGGCAAGGGAAAGGGCCGAGGCGTTTAGCGGGTTGGAGTAACTGTTTTCGAGCAAACCCTTGGGAGTTACACAAAGGCAGTTCGCTAGGCCAGGTAATTTCATGAATGTTTCTGAATGATGTCTGTTTCGGGCTCACATTTCATTGTACAGTGGGGAGGGCAAGAATGGATGCCATCTCATGGTTGGGTCAAAAGGCGAAGTGGTCTGCACGGGTGTCCAAAGAGGACTCTGATGGCTTATTGTAATCAGACAACTAAAT